ATGCTTCCTTTAATTCCATCTCCTTCTCTTCCGCTTATTTCCTATTCTCCGTATTTCCCAATGACTTCCTTTTGCTTTTTCCTTTCTCTCCCTTCTTTTCTATCCCTCGGAGGGCTCTCCACACCCTATGCAACTAAAAGAAATCCAACTCACAAATCCTGACTCACCCTTTCCTCCTCCCTATATCTCCCTGACCCCCCATCCCCCCAGTAGGTCAAAGGTCATGCGATAAGCCAGGGCAATTTTCTCGATATTGAGAGAAGATTGTGACCTACATAGCCTATGCCTCGCACCGTACATGGGGGACTATTTTCTTCCAATTTCAGCCGGACAATAGTACATTTTCCCCTCAATCTGCCCAGGACAAAAGGTGTCTTCCCCTCTCCCCTCCTAGTCTGAGTACGACCTATAAGATCCAATGGCCAGGGAGGAAGTTAAATCATTTTTCTTCTCAATATGCAGGTGCATTCTCCTCTATCATGTCCCCCCCCCCTTTAAAGAAGAAGAAGAAGAAGAAGAAGAAAATTCGCTCAATATGAACCGAGCTTGACACGACCTTTTACGCGCTCTGTGGAACTGAAAGAAAAAAAAACGATGTACCTCTTCACCTGAAATAAATAAAACATAGGAACGTTTTCTCCCTTCCCCTGAAACTGCACAAACACTAAAAAACGCTTTTCCCCCTCCCCTGAATTGCATAAAACACAAGAAACGTTTTGAAGCTTTTCCATAATTCATTATAGCGCGGGAAACGTTTTTTTTTTTCTCTCTCTCTCACTTTTTACATCTGAACCAAACACATGAAACGTTTTACCCAACTTTCCCTAAAAACAACAACAACAAAATAAAAAAGAAACGTTTCACTCTTTCTCCTGCAATAAATAAAACACATGAAACGTAATTCTCCTTTGCTCCAAACTTGAACACAATGTAAGAAATGTTTCTACTCTCTTTTAATTCGAGCGAAGCACAAGGAACGTCGTTCTCTTTTGCGAATTACGAGCGAAAAACAAAAGCAACACAAAAAAAAACGTTTCTTAATTGCGCAGGGTACGAAAACGTGTCACCCTATTTCGCAAGCGCAGCAGCCCGTCAGACAGACATATAACGATAATCATAATGACAACAATGATGATAATGACGCTGACAATAATAATAATCGTAATAATAGTGATAACAATAACAACGATAATGAGAGTGATATTGGCCTTGGTAGAAATACCACCAATAATGATAACAATACCACCAGCAACAACAACAACAACAACAACAACAACAACAAGGCAACAACAACCACGACAACAACAAGGCAATCAAAACCACGACAACAACAACAACAACGGCAACAACTTAAACAACAAGGTAACAAAAACCACGACAACAACAACAACCATAACAACAACAACAACAACAACAACGACGACGGCAACAACCCTCCGGATCGAAGGCAGAGACGAAGCGAAGAGAGGCTCCGGACCGAGATTGCGTCATCGTTCAAGATTGCTCAATACTGAAATTCCTTTGAAGACTTTGTTCACATCCCTCCTTCGAGTCTCACTCACGTGGCTTTCTTTTGTTTTGCTCTTTTCTGTCTTTTCGTTCGCGTGTCTTTTTTTTTTGTTTTTGTTTTGCGTTATTGCATCTTTCGTTCGCGTGTCTTTTTTTATTTGTTTTGCGTTATTGCATCTTTCGTTCGCGTGGCTTTTTTATTTGTTTTGCTTTATTGCATCTTTCGTTCATATGTTTTTATTTGTTTTGCGTTGTTGCATCTTTCGTTCATATGTTTTTACTTGTTTTACTTTATTGCATTTTTCGTTCGCGTGTCTTTTTATTTGTTATGTTTTATTCTCTTCTTGGTTAATATCTTTGTTAGTTCGCCTTATTCCATCTTTAGTCCAAATCTTTATTAGTTTTCCTTTATTCTAACTAACTTAGTTCTCAATATTTATCGAAATTTCTGTTATTCTCTCTTCCCTCACTTGTTTATTGGATTTGCTTTATTCCATCTTCGTTAATTAGCTTTGCGTTATTCTACCTTTAGTTCTCATCTTTATTTTTATTTTTTACTTTTTTTTTCGTTTATTCTGTCTCTTCCTCTCATCTTTATTAAATTTCCTTTAGTCTATCTTCGCTCCTCATATTCTGTTGTGTTGATTTTTTTTTTTTTGGGGGGGGGGGATAATTGTTGGGGTTTGGTAGAGGTTGGGGGGGGGGAGGGTGAGGGTAGGGGGAGGAGAGGGGAAGATAAGTAGGTTGGGAGAGGAGAGGGAGAAGATAAGTAGGTTGGGGGAGGAGAGGGGAAGGGTAAGGGGGTAGGGGGAGGAGAGGTGAAGGATAGGTGGGTAGGGGGAGGAGAGGGGGAGGATAAGGGGGTAGGGGGAGGAGAGGGGGAGGATAAGGGGGTAGGGGGAGGAGAGGGGGAGGATAAGGGGGTAGGGGGAGGAGAGGGGGAGGATAAGGGGGTAGGGGGAGGAGAGGGGGAGGATAAGGGGGTAGGGGG